CCCCAAATACCCCATCTTTTGTACCCTCTGACTCTTCGTCTCCCCTCTCCCTCCCACAGAGTGACAAAGTGACCATTGTGGACCATCACTCCGCCACTGAGTCCTTCATCAAGCACATGGAGAATGAGTACCGCTGCCGGGGGGGCTGTCCAGCCGACTGGGTGTGGATCGTGCCCCCCATGTCCGGCAGCATCACCCCTGTCTTCCACCAGGAGATGCTCAACTACCGGCTCACCCCCTCCTTCGAGTACCAGGTCCTGCCCCCTCCCTGCCTCTGTGACCCGGCCCATCATTCCATCCCCTCATCCCCATGGCCTCCTCAATTCTGTTCTCTCACCCTTCCCTGGAAGAGGCTTGAGGCTGAAGTAGCCAGAGCTGGCAAGTACCAGGAATGGCATCAGTGTCCTGGGAGTGCCCCCACCCAGTGCAGTCCTGCGTCACTGCTTCCTGAGCTCGGAGTCTTCTGATGAGGGGTGGAGTTCCTTGCCCTACGTTTAGTGAAGGCTGGGCTGACCATGTAAACTCTTTTTGTGGTGAGGTGTAAAAGCAGTTGAAGGCAGTGGTTCAGTGTGTGGCTTTTGGAGCCAGACTGTTCCTGGGTTTAAATCCCAGCTATGCTACTTGCTACCTATTGTGACTTTAAGCAAACTACATAACCTCTCTTTGCCTCCATTTCCTGGCCTGTAAAATGGGGGTAATATTCATACTTGCCCTCTAGGGTTGTTGTGATAATGAAATGAAGGAATGAATGAATACATATAACAGTGCTGAGAACAGTACCTGCCCCACAGTGAGTGCTCACTGGTGGTTCACATCCTTAGATAGCATTGTTAACTGCTGTCAAATCAGCCCCTGCCTCGTGGCACACACCCCCCCCCAACATGTGCAACTGATCAAAATGCTGCCTGGTCCTGTGCCAACCCATGATCAGTTGTAATCCATAGGGATTCCGTTGGCTAACTTTTGGAAGTAAATCACCAGGTCTTTCTTCCTAGGCTTTCTTAAATGTAGACAGCACTTCATTCCTTTGTGCGAGGGGTTGCCATGTGTTAGGGTCTGGCTGACCTAACAGAGCTAACAACTTCCTAAAACCCGGGAGGTTGCTTAGTACCTGTAATAAACTAACATCCTAGCTTTGGGTTCTCCAACAGAAATGTAACACAAGCCATGTAAGCAACGCTGAATTTTCTAATAAAACACCAAACTCACTGCCATTGAGTTGACTCCAACTCATAGCAACCCCCATGGGGTTTCCAAGGCTATGAATCTTTATAGAAGTGGATTGTCCTATCTTCCTTCCATGGAGTGGCTGGTGGGTTTGAACCACTGACCTTCTGGTTAGCAGCCAAAAGCCTTATCCACTATGCCACCAGAACTCCTTAAATTTTTTAATGTTGTTGTTGTTGTTGTTATGTGCCGTCGAGTCGGACCTGACTCATAGCGACCCCTCCTTGGGTTTCCGAGGCAGTATCAC